ACCAAGCTTTCTCCAAACCACCACAAATTATTGCTGGTTTATTCCATCTCCGTATGCATTTGCCGAGGCCATTTGGCTGTGTTTCAAGCAGCCTCGAGGACCCTAGACAAAGAGAATGTGCTATCTTTTTTTGACAATGCATCGTTCTAAATAAACTTCACAAAAATAGCTAGGGGTCATTATTTTACCTGTTGAGAGTGAAGAAAGAAGTAGTGAGATGTATAATGGACTGTTTTAACTGTTTATAATTGCTGTTATATATGTTTTTATCTTATTGTTTTGTTGGCATCGAATTGTGCCTTTTGTAAGCCGCCCTGAGTCCCCCCTCGGGGGTTGAGAAGGGCGGGGTAGAAATGCGCGAAATAAATAAATAAATAGTCAGATCCAATAGTTGTTCATTACACACATTGTTGTTGCTGCTGCTGCTGTTGTTGTTGTTGTGTGCCTCTTAAGTCGTTTTGTACTTATCACACACTAAGGTGAGAGCATGGGATTTTCTTAGGTGTCTCACTTAAGGTCTTCCAGTAGGTTTCCATGGCTGATTAGGAATAGCATACAATAAACAAGGGTTGAATGAAAAGTAATGCCTCCACCTTCGTAACTCCTCAATAGATGGCAGTAGTGGTATGCGGCAAGTACTGGCTTGCTCAGTAGACTTTCCTCTACAGTTCCATTTTGGCAGGAAGCCTTAGCATTGAATGGTTGTGTTGTTAAAGTGCGAAGTATGGAACCCTGCGCAGACTTAAGCAATGTGCAGTCATTGAATTCTTGACAGCAGAAGGTGTCACCCCAAAGGAGATTCATCAGAGAGTGCAAGCTGTCTATGGTGATTGTGTTGATGTGAGTACTGTGCATCGTTGGGTGAGTAAGTTTAAAGATGTTGAGGTGGGAACATCAGACTTGCGTGACAAACAAAGAGTTGGACATCCTGTGACAGCAACCACCAAGTTTCACAAGCAAAAGGTTAACAGGTTGATTCACGACAATCGCCATATCACTCAGAGGGAGATTTCAAGCATAATCGGCATTTCACAAGAACATGTGGGTCATATTATTGCTTTGCTTGGCTATCGGAAGATCTGTGCATGATGGGTACATTGAGAGAACTATGAGATGCTGGTTGCGGAAACAGAATGTCGACTTCTTCCGTGAGGGCTTCAGAAAACTTGTTCATCATTGGCAGAAATGTATCCAATTGTCTGGTGATTATGTGGAAAAGTGAATAGTGGTAATGTATTGTCGAAGGCTTTCATGGCCCGAATCACTGGGTTGTTGTAGGTTTTTTCAGCCTATATGGCCATGGTCTAGAGGTAGTTAAAGAGCACATTCTAAGGATTATTTCTGTGTTTGATTTATTAAAATATTCCCATCCAAACCCAAGTAACGAAGGTGGAGGCATTACTTTTCATTCAACCCTCGTATATGGTTACCCAAGTATAAATATTCCACGCAAATAATAGCAATGTACTGTATATGAGAAAAGCAAAAGCAGAAGGTTTTGTTTGGTTTGTTTTTCTTTCTTTTTTTCAGACATGAGAGGTATAGTTTGTTGAGTGAGGCCCTCCAAGGTCTAGCGTAAGATGCACGTAGCCCTTGGATCTTGGGTACTTGCCCATTCCTATTTTAATGGTCGGAAGAAGCCTTTTTCAAGGGGAAATTCACCTTCATAGCCAAGCCAATGTGTTTATCTTCCCAATAAGTCACTTCAGAGTGTGAATAATGGCACACTAGTTCAGATCTCATTATTGTGATGATTCTTGGTCGTCCACAGCTGCCTTATTGGCAAAACATTAAGCCTGAAATAATCATCAGTGTCTTACAGAAGAACATTGCCTCCGTAATTCTTCCGTGTCCACCTAGAATGCTTCGTTGTGCAGTGGATTGCCACTTCTATATAACTGGGGTTTTTATTTTGAATTGTTAACACTTGATGGTTGGCGTGAAAAAGCACCACACCAGCTGAATTGCCAAGGCAAAGCAACATTTTTCAATTCCAGAAGAAGAAAGACAGACTGCTGAGAAGAATTATTAGTGTCAGCTGTCCACATTCACTGGGGCTGGGAGTTTAGAGTCCCCATTGTTGGAAATCCCACCCTTCTACAATTTATGTATTTATTTAAAGCATTTATATTCCTCCCTTCTCATTCCGAAGGGGACACAAGGCAGAGCACAACATATAAACGGCAAACATTCAAGACTATAACACACATAAACATTAAAATTACTAAAATCTTTTATCTCAACATTAAAACCTACTATTTAAACTGTCTCAGTCATCTGCCTCCTATACTAGTTATTTGTTATGTATATAATTCAGATTGTTTACTATATTATATGTGTGTGTATTTGGTATGCAGTTTTCCTTAACTCTGTCTTGTAGGATGAACTGCAGACTATGTGACCAAATCTGGGACTGTTCTGATCTCAGACTCCATTTTAGGAACAATATGCAGACCATGCGACCAAATCTGGGACTGTTCAGATCTCAGACTCCATTTCAGAAACAGTATGCCTTTAGAAGTCAGTAGAAACAGAATACTTTAGAGAACAGACTTCATTATACTCTCAAACTGGAGAGATACTTAGGACTTTGGACTGTTAAGATTCAAAGAAAAATGTCCTGTGTTATCTGCATAGAGAAACTACGCAGATAACTAGACTGATAAGCTATATACCTGTATGCTGAATACATGAAGTTTGTAAGTAAATAAACTATGTTACTTTTAAAAAATAGTACTTATTTTTGTCTCTTGAGAGCATGATTTAAACCAAGATGTTTTAAGGGAGAGTAGACGTTTTTGGGCAACTGAAATAATACTTCTGAAACTCTGCTGTTTTTTGTGCATTGGCATAGCTTTGTTCCTAACAGTTCAAAGAGATATCTAGGTATATAAGTCTAACAGCTGAGAAACCTAGTGGCTCTGTTTCACCATTGCCTTACCACCAGTTACTTTCAGTGGGACAATGAATTCTACGAACAGAAAGATGGAGTAGCTATGGGGAGCCCTCTCAGCCCGGTCATAGCTAATTCTACATGGAACACTTTGAAAAACAAGCCCTGGAAAAAGCAACAAAAAAGCCCACGATATGGTTCAGATATGTGGATGACACTTTCACCATTTGGAGCCATGGAGAAGAAGAACTCAACAGGTTCCTGGACCATCTTAACAGCATCCACCCAAACATCCAGTTCACCATGGAAAAAGAAAATGAAGGAAGACTGCCTTTTCTAGATGTCCTAGTCATCCGCAAACCAGATCAACAATTGGGTCACACCGTCTACAGAAAACCCACACACACAGATAGATATCTACATAAAAACTCCAACCATCACCCAAGTCAAAAAAAGAAGCACCATTAAAGCCTTGGCAGACCGTGCAGAAAGAATCTGCGAACCCCACCTCCTCCAAGATGAACTGAACCACCTCAATTGGGCTCTCCAGGCCAATGGATACTCCACCTCAGACATCAGAAGAGCTGCAAGACCAAGAACAAGCCACGAGAGTAAAGATGAAGATCCACCCAGAGGAAAAGTGTTCCTGCCATACATCAAGGGAACCACTGACCGCATAGGGAAGCTGATGAGGAAACACAACATACAAACAATCTACAAACCCACCAAGAACATCCAACAAATGCTACGTTCAGCAAAGGACAAGAGGGATCCTCTCACCTCTGCAGGAGTCTACCGTATACCATGCAGCTGTGGACAAGTCTACATAGGGACCACCAAACGCAGCCCCAAACACGAATCAAGGAACATGAAAGGCACTGCAGACTACTTCAACCAGAGAAGTCACCATAGCAGAGCACCTGATGAACCAACCTGGACACAGCATATTATTTGAGAACACAGAAATGCTGGACCACACCAACAACCACCATGGCAGACTACACAGAGAAGCCATTGAAATCCACAAGCATGTGGACAATTTCAACAGAAAGGAAGAGACCATGAAAATGAACAAAATCTGGCTACCAGTATTAAAAAACTCTAAAATTATAACAGCTAAACAACAGAGAGGAAAAAACCAGGCACAGATTAACACCTCCCAGCAACAGATTTTCCCAGACTCAGGCAGGCCTTCAAATGCTAATGAAGGTGATCAGCTAAACATTCACACCTAACTGCAGCAGGGAAGAGCTCCTTGCCCCACCCCAGCCATTCCACAGATATATAAACCCATTGTCCTAATTCCAACAGACCTCACTACCTCTGAGGATGCTTGCCATAGAGGCAGGCGAAACGTCAGGAGAAATGCCTCTAGAACATGGCTCTATAGCCCGAAAAAACCCACAAGAACCTAGTGATTCCAGCCATGAAAGCCTTCGACAATACATTGAACCTAGTGGATATTTATCAGTAACAAGAAGGTTGACTCAAGCAAGTTTTTAACTCTTTTCAGGAAGATCGTACTTTACAAAAGGTTATTATCTCTAACAAGGTCATGCCTTTCCAAAAGATTCCTGGTTTTCCCAAAAGGTTATGAAGGCCCCTTTTCCAAAAGGTTATGGAGATTTCCATTTTCCAAAAACCATGAATGTTTGGGGGAAAGTAAATTAAAAAACAATGGGTTTTTAAACGAAAAGAACACTGTATTGTCAAAGGCTTTCATGACCGAAATCACTGGGTTGTTGTAGGTTTTTTCGGGCTATATGGCCATGGTCTAGAGGCATTCTTTCCTGACGTTTTGCCTGCATCTATGGCAAGCATCCTCAAAAGAACACTTCTAGGAGTCACTCTGTGGTCAACTGAAAATTGGTCACAGACTTGTCCTGGAAGATCTTGAGTGCCCTGGAGTTGTGTTTGCACTTGGAAACTCTGTTTCTTCTATTATAACTCTATGGTCAACTTCCAGTAGAAGTTACCTTTCCAAGAAAAAAAATAGACTCCACCTCGAGAGACCATATTAATCAAATCTGCAAAAGTGAAACATACAAATGTGGAAGGCTCATTGACTTGTTGGTGTTGTGATGTTCTTCTTCTCTTCTTTTATTAGCACAAGCCCAGCTCACAAGTACTACCTCGCAATGGACCCAGTGTCTGAATCCCTTTACTTGTCCGATACAAACACCAGAAGGGTTTACAAGGTGAAATCTCTCAGCGAAACCAAGGACCTGGCTAAAAACTATGAGGTTGTGGCTGGAACAGGTGACCAGTGCCTTCCGTTTGACCAGAGCCACTGCGGAGATGGAGGACGAGCATCAGAGGCATCACTTCATAGCCCTCGAGGTAGGATCATGGTGCAAGCTGGGAAAACTATGTTTTCATCATTTTTTTGTTTGTTTGTGATTATATTGTCACCTGCCTCGAACCTTGGGGAGACGTGGTAAGAAATAAAATTAGTGTTATTATACTTTTATTATATAACTAGCTTGGGGAGCTGGCATTGCCTGGGTTTTTTGAAAAAGTCAATGTTCTAATTGTACAAAATGCATAAGGTTGTGGGTGAACTACAACTCACATCATGCCGGGTTAATTCTGAGAAACTCCATCAGTACTTAAAGTTTGTTATGTTGGGCAAGTTTGCTCTAGATGCATCATCTATGGGGTTTAGTGTGCTCTCTGGCTGTAGGGTAAACTACAACTCCCACTATGGTGAGTCAGTCCCCCAGTTGGTTGAGTCAGTCATGGCGGTTCTGTGTGCCACGTTTGGTTCAGGTCCATCATCGCTGGAGGTCACAGTTTCTCTGGTTGTGGGTGAACTGAAACTCCCAAAAAGGAAGATAATTTCCCCCCAAACCCTTCCAGTAATCAAATTTTGGCTTATCAGGTTTGTGTGCCAAGTTTGGTCCAGATCCATCAGTGTTTAGATTCACAGCACTCTCTGGATGTAGATGAACTACAACTCCCTCAAATCAAGGTGAATTTCCCCCAAAGATCTCCAGTGATTTTTGCTGGACATGGTAGCTCTGTGTGCCAAGTTTGGTCCAATTCCATCTTTGGTGGAGTTCAGAGTGCTCATTGATTGCAGGTGAACTATAAATCCCATTACCTACAACTCCAAAATGTCCAAGCCAATTCCCCTCAAAACCCACCAGTATTCACATTTTGGCGTACTAGGTATGCATGCTAAGTTTGGTCCAGATCCATCATTGTTTGGGTTCATAGTGCTCTCTGGATGTAAGTGAACTACAACTCCTATAAATCCTTCCAAAGTATTTTTTGTTAGTCATGGGGGTTGTGTGTGCCAAGTTAGTTCCAGGTCCATCATTGATGGAGTTCAGAGAGCTCATAGATTGCAGGTGAACTATGCATCCCAGTGCCTACTACGCCTATAAATCATGGTGAATTCTCCTCAAACCTCTCTAGTTGTTACTGATCAATTCCTCTATTTGTTGTTTGCCATAGAAAAGAACAGGAAAGGGTTACTGGAGAGGTAAGGGGTAGGGTTATGCAAATCTCACTCCAATTGAGAGGGTAAGAAACACTGGGATGTCTGTGGTGGAGGAAATACATAAAATTTATAATGGAATGGTCCCCATCTGAAAGCCTTAACTTGGGTGGTGGGCAGTATGGTGTTGGTGGAGGACATTGGCTCTTGGACATGTTTATGGCACTCTCTATAACCTGCAATGTCATTGGAGGGAGGGCCATTGGTGTCTCCTGAGTAGTGGGAGCTATAGCTGTTTGTAGAGGTAGAGGAGCCTGTTTGTGTAAGTGGACTGTTGATCTTATGCATTAGCTGCTTCCCCTCCTAATACTCCCAGTAGTAGCACTACTCGAAGACTCCATCACAACATGGACACCCCAGCCATATACATACATACATATTTTCACTTTTGTTATGTGAATAGATCTATGAGTGAAATACAAATATTTAAGCAATGACAATGTAAAGCATTAAATCCCACAACTTCTATGCTAGCAGGGGCCTCCTTTTTAGGATGATAGATCTGCATGCTCATAGCATTTTACCCCCCACATCAATTCCCCCGGGATATGAAACTATGTTGTTGCACGTGCCCATTAATTCCGTTCTTGGAATTCTTTCAACCTGTGTCTTCGCACAGCGATGGCTTTGATTCCCAGCATTCGCTTCAAATCCCACTGGTGTTACTGAAGAGGATGGAAGCTGAAACATCTAATTAAACTGCATTAAGCCTATCTTTGTTTCATCCTTCGCTGATGTTCCTAAGTTATTGTTTTGCTTTTGATGGCACCGTTCTACAGCGCAGGGTATACTTGTTTGTCCTGCCATTCAACCACATATCAGAAGTATGCAGATTTAGGACAATATTTCATGCATCTGTTGTCATTCTTGTTCATGGAACAGGGTAGAAGCCCCCAGTGGTGCAATGGGATAAACCTTTGTGCCAAAAGGTCTGCGGTTCATATCTAAGAAGTGAGGTCTTTTTACCATGTCAGTAGCAAGTTGAGAAACTGCAAATTGCTTCTGGTGTTAAGAGAATTGGCCATCTGCAAGGACGTTGCCCAAAGAATACCCAGATGTTTAATGTTTTACCATCCTTGTGGTAGGCTTCCCTCGTGTCACTACATGGGGAGCTGGAGCTGACAAAGGGAGCTCATCCGTGCTCTCCCTGGATTTGAACCTCCAACCTCTCGGTCTTCATTTCTGCTGGCACAAGGGTTTAACCCATTGCCTCACCAGGGTCTGCAATTCGTATCAAGGGAGTGGGGTGAGCTCCCATATGTCAGCTCCAGCTTCTTATCCTGTGGGAGTGAAGCCTCCCACAGGATGGTAAAACATCCGGGCATTTTCCTGGTCAACATCCTTGCAGATGGCCAATTCTCTCACACCTGAAGCAACTGGCAGTGCAACTTGCAGTTTCCCAAGTCACCCCCGACACACACAAAAAATGGAACCTGGTTCCAGATGAAGTTTTTAAAAGTTCAGCTGGAGCTGACAGAGGGAACTCATCCGCATTCTCTCTAGATTTGAACCTCCAAACTGTTGGTCTTCAGTCCTGCTGGCACAAGGCTTTAACCCATTACATCACTGGGGTCTGCGGTTTATATCCGAGGAGTGGGGTGAGCTCCCATCTGTCAGCTCCAGCTTCTCATGCAAGGACATGAGAGAAGCCTCCCACAGGATGGTAAAACATCCAAGCATTTTCCTGGTCAATATCCTTGCAGATGGCCAATTCTCTCACACCTGAAGTAACATGCAGTGCACCTTTCAGTTTCTCAAGTCACCCCCAACACACACAAAAAATGGAACCTGGTTCCATATGAAGTTTTTAAAAGTTCAGCTGGAACTGAGAGAGGGAGCTCATCAGCACTTTCCCCAGATTTAAATCTCCAACCTGTTGGTCTTCAGTCCTGCTGGCACAAGGCTTTAACCCATTACGTCACTGGGGTCTGCGGTTTATATCCAAGGAGTGGGGTGAGCTCCCATCTGTCAGCTCCAGCTTCTCATGCAAGGACATGAGAGAAGCCTCCCACAGGATGGTAAAACATCCAGGCATTTTCCTGGTCAATATCCTTGCAGACGGCCAATTCTCTCACAACTGAAGCAACTTGCAGTTTCTCAAGTTACTTCCCGACACACACAAAAAATGGAACCTGGTTCCATATGAAGTTTTTAAAGTTCAGCTGGAGCTGACAGAGGGGACTCATCTGTGTTCTCTCCAGATTTGAACCTCTGACCTGTCGGTCTTCAGTCCTGCTGGCACAAGGGTTTAACCCATCGCGTCACCGGGGTCTGCGGTTCATACCTGAGGAGCGGGGTGAGCTCCTGTCTGTCAGCTCCAGCTTCCCAGGTGGGGGAACATGAGATGTTTTATCATCCCACACCGCTGGCCAATGTCCTTGCAGATGGCCAGTTCTCTCACACCAAAAGTGACTTGTAGTTTCTCAAGTTACTCCTGACACATACAAAAAGTGGAACCTGGTCCCATGGGAAGTTTTTAAAAGTTCAGTGCATCATGGGAAAACGATCAAAAGCTGGAATCAGCATCTTTTGAACAAATTTTGCAGAACCAAGGTCTATTGGCCTTTGGCTTATTGACCTCAAGTACATTCCAAATGCTTAATGAACCAATTTGGAGATATGTTTTCTTTCCCTTCCTCTGCACACAGCCACATCCACATACTTCACCTTGAGCTATTAAAAGAAAATAGTAGATCAGTAGATAACTTAAATGCACTCTATGAGACAGAACAGTATCCAACCCGCCAAAAAGAAAATAGTTGGAAATGAGTTTGCAACTTCAACATAGTAGGCAGAGAGACAAATGATGGAAAGTAAATGTGAAATAAACACAAATCATTTTGCTCTTCGTGCTGGTAATTAAAGCGAGAAATTACCAATAGATATAGGTGAAATCTGAGGTCCCTTGGCAGGAAAATAAGGACCAGTGCATTATTTGCTAACTGAAATTGATTCTATCTAATCTGAAGGCAATTATCTGTTCTTTCTCTGTTTCTCATTTGGAGAAGGAGTGTATTAACCTGAAGGTTTCAAGATTGGCCATGCACTTTGCAAAAACAACATTTCAGTTACATCGTGATATTTGACACTGTTATTAGCAATGAAGTTGGTAAGCTGATGACAATTGCCTTCCTATGGTAGACATAGTATTGTAAGACAGCAATGTTTTTTAAAAAATGGAGCGCATTTTCTCATTTTTCTTAGGGCTTTATCACACAAAAGCACAATTTCAGCACTTGGATAGGGCTTACCTCATGAAGTTGCATCTCTCCCATAGATGCATTGTGCTTGGATTGTATCTTTTCACTAATGATAATATACTTTATTTATAGTCCACTATAACGAAGCACACGAGTAGTAGTGAGATTTTAAAAATCGATTTATCAGACTGGGAAATATAGAAAAATAATTCCCACGCTGCTCAGCCCAATTATAACGATGACACCTCCACTACAGACTAGCTCACCAAAATATAGAGGGAGTATGGTTGCTGAACCCACTGTCTATTTAAAAGCTAGGAACAGGGAACCACTGGAACTCAGGGACTTAAAATGATTCTTCAAAAGAAATCCGCTGCCACCATATTAATAATAAACAGGCCGAGGTATTATTGAGAGGTTGTTCAGTAACACATTCTGTGTCACTATAGTTTTCTTAGAGGTTGCTAAAAGCTGACTTGAATAACACTTTGACCACAAAGGTATTCACACTGAGGCTGGTATAAGTTGATAGAAATAACAAGAATGTTTATTGAACAGGCTTGAAATATTCAGGTACAAATGCTTAATGGTTTCAGTAAAATACTGGCATAAAAAGCTTGTGGTTGTGTTAGAGTAAA